GTAAGATTCAGGCCGAGTCCGGTTTCCGACGTCTTCCAACGCGACCAGGTCCCAGAGACCAAATGCACCTGGTAACACCGAAAAAGGATGAACCTGACAACTGACAATCACTGTTTTCACCTGCGAATCTGGTTTGGGGGTATCAATAGGATGGGGTTCTGTGTGTACGTTTACTTGGGTATCCACTGGATGCGTGTTTGTTTGTTTTTTAAAGAACCTGCCTGGTCCCGACTTCAAGCACCTTGGGAAATGGCACATGAACCCCCCCAAAAAAGAACAGCTGCGACTGGGGCCCCATTTTCTGAGGTCCCAGTTCCGGGTCAACTCCAGGTATTGGTCTGGTCGATTGAAGCCGGATGGCCGGGTCGAGCTTCCAAGGGGCCTAAGGGTCTTCCAAGGGGCCCACGGATGGTCCATCGATATGTTGAGATGATGTCGAAAGTGCTTTGAAAGCCAAACCAAAAAAGGGGTGAAGATGCAGGCCCTTTGGCACAGACTCCATGGGACTGGAACATCAATTGACCCCCCTCCAACTCACCTCATTTCGCCAATATGGCAGTCCCAGCGGTCGTGTTAGATTTTTTGTGGGATTGGGATTCTCTTTCGTGGCCTTCAGGATTGACAGAGTCTTGAAGATTGGCTGATTGGCTCTGGCTCGGTCTCTCAATCACCCATCTCATTCACTGGTCTCAACGTCCCAACTTATATATATATATATATCCCGGTGCCGGAAGGCACTAGCATATATCCTCCTGGGTGGTGCTTTCAGATATTGGCATGTCAAGCTTTGCTTGAGCTTGCTTGATCCCACTGACTGAGTTTTGGAAAAGTGACTTGAAGCCACCAACGAGTCTTTGCTGGTGCACATAGGGCCACAATGGACCATAGGTCTGTTTCATGCGTGAAAGAGATTGTCCAGCTATGTCCAGCTCTTCATAGCACGACGCGATCAAAGTCCGGTAGTGGCGCAGCCCTTCTTGGGCAGTGCAGACACTAATGAAAGAGAATCATAGAAATCATATACAATGTGACAATGTGAATCTCTGGAAGAAGCCACCTTTCTCTACAAGTTCTGCATGGCTTACCATCCCCCAAGAAAGAACCGGATTGGATCGGGCGCCCTTTTTGACCGGTCCCCAAGTTCCGGGGTGATTAATATTCTTTACGAACTCCCCAGACTATCCATGGGACGGGAAGAGTGAACAAATATGACAAAATACATTTGCCCCAGACAGAACACGACCCCATGGGATGGTTACTATTAGTCCCATGGATTGTTTGGGATGGTTTTTCTTGCCTAGAACGAAATCGGAAGCCTGCAGAGGTCTTTGTGCGTCACCAGCTTGCCAAGATTGGACCAAATCCATGGTGAACGGTGAGGGTCGACAGAAACACATTGGGTGGACATATGCGGACATCATTGGGACGCAGATGTTTGTTGGACTTTTGATAGATTCTTGATAAAGAGTTATTAATTTAATGATTCATGAGAAACATTTCTCCAAATTCTGCGTCCCAAATCCAACCGTCGAAGTCTTCATTCCGAACCACGGGTTCTGCTCCGCACCCGTGGGTTCCGTGAAGCAGATTCGCTCAGCGTGTTGCTGAGGTGTTTGGTCTGATGCTATGTTGCTTGCTTCATGTTCATCATTTGCACCACCACCTACATCCACCCACCAGTTGTTCCATCATTTCCATATGGATCCACTGCCACCCTCTGAGTTACGGTGATTGGGGACACTTTTATGTCGGCGCCATTGGAGGGTCCTGTCGTACCTTCTGAGAAGGTACTTGGATCATTTTGGATCCCTAGCGGTGGAAAATGATTGCCTTTGTTTGGGCATCGCATTCGCGTGGAATCGCCGAAACCGCCCTTCAAACTTCAAACATATTATTTTAAGAAGTCCATGAACACCAACCCCAGCCCACATGTAGATTCCATATCTTCTACAGTAGTGATATGATTTTTTGTTGGTCCCACATGATGTCTGTCACCTGCCGTGCGGCACGGGCTGCCGCGAACGCACGGCGCAGGTGCGGGCCGCGGTGGATCGCTTCGCCCAGCAGCGACAGTTGCAGGACCGGCGCGAGCTGCCACCGAAGCGGCGACGGAGCGATCGTTGCGGGCATCGCACGGGCATCGCATGGAGGTCATAAGGTGCATAACGACATCACGAACGGAGCAAGAACGCTACTAATTGCTTTGGGATGTTATCAATAAGCAGTAAGACCCCAGGATTTGGGGTCTACAATGCAACCACCCAGAGTCCCAGTCGAAGTAGTTGACAGGGTGTTGAGATTGGGTGTTGACATGTGCTTGGAGATTCGGGTCCAAGATGTTGGTTGGTTGTTTGGATGTTTGTTTTGAATGGAACATGTTGCAAGAGTTGTGAGATGTTGTGAGTGTGTTTGGACGAAGAATCACCCATCGCATGACGCGATTGGTGGAGACCAACAGCGACCCACGGCGCCCTGAGAGAGGGGCGATGGCGCATTCTCACCAATGCAATGGGATGACTCCCTTTGAAGATGATTCCCCACACTTAACAAGTGGATGGCATGATCCCTCGAAAGACACTTTTATTCTACAAGCATGGGGTTGTCCACTTCCATGTTTGTTGGCGGGAGGGTCCGGGAGGGCCTTTTTTTGAACAGGAATAGCCAAGCCACGTTGCAGGTGCCGAAACTCTTGGTTTGTATTGAGAGGGGGGCGAGATAATGAATAACACGGCATGGATTTGTGGGTAGTTGTTAGGTACCGGTGCAAGCCAACCTTTCTAGCTGAATTACCGGTTTTTATAGTGATCACTGAATATCATTAATATTGGAGGTCAAACCGTGGTCCAGAACGAGGTTGCACGTGATGGTAATAGTTAGTTCGACATCCCTTAGAGCGTATATGATGGGTAATTACAGCTCCACCATGTGCGAGGTATTCTCCTTGCATGGTTGTTATAGAAGGGTGCACCCAACAATGTGTGATTGTGTGATTACAGTGGTTTCAGAGTAGGTGGCACTAGCACCCCAAGATGTCCTTTAGATGGGGGGTCCATATAAACCACCTCTTGGGGTCTGTGCCATTGGTCCTCTCAATCCACTATATCACGATGCATGTGGCCATCCCATAGGTGCTCCTCCCAAGGCGAGAACAAACAATGAGACCGGCCAAGGTCGATCCAAACAAGAAAGCACCGACGTTTTGCAGGTGACCACCAGTGAAGACGTGCCATCCTCCTGGTTCATCGTGAAGCCTTAGAAGCGGAGTTCTGGAGTTCAGATGAGATGAAGGGTTTGAGAGTTTCAAGAATGGAAGACTACCACCCGAACTGATCCACCAAAGAAGAAGATGCGATTCAATCCGGATGGTCTTGGATTGCCAAGGTGAGTGTAACTACCAGAGCTGTGAACCAATCATGCAGAACATGAGGATGGATCATACCTGGAGCCTTGGTCCACCATGTGGTGAAGGACCTATCGTCGGTAGGTCCAAGGTGTCCTTGTGCCAGGACCCATAGCCATAGAATCGATGGTCCTTGAGGTCAACCGATCCATTCCGGAGTTTCAGGTATTTCTGAACTTCACGCCGGCGCGGAACAGCGGAACATCGCAGAACATCGCGCGCCAGTAGCAGCATTGTCAGATGCTCCTGGTTGTGATCTCGTCTCGGCTTCGCGAAGAAAGAGAAGTACGAAGTGCTAAGATGGTTGAGACAACGTTCGGGGGGCACCCAGACTGAGAAATCATGAGGATTCATATTTTACTCTGACAGACCACCCCTTTCTCCACCCTACCTTCCAGAACCCGCTTTGGAACTGCTGGAGTGGGAAGCAAGTGGTCCCATTGCGAGGAAGTACAGGAAGTACCACTGACTTACCTTACTGTCGAAGATGGCCTCTTTGGGTTCCTGTTCCTTTGTTTGTTCACCGGGTGGTATGTAAAGTTTGGATAGAAAATCAGATGGAGCTGAGGTGAATGAAATTGCACATCTCTGATGAATCTGTGCATACCATTTCACCTTTGGAGTCACAGTGGGATCTTCGGACGAGTCGATCCGGGTGGGGCGGCCACCGAAGGGACCGAAGGGACCGAAGGGACCGTCGGTGTTTGGACACGAAGCCAAGCTCCCTAGCTGCATCTACTTCCCGGTCACAGACATGTACTTGTACCTTGTAGGGCAGTGATTGGTCGAAATCTTTCTTGCACAATTCCGCAATGGAATGTAGTTTCAATGGACTTCTTTGCTTTCTCAGGCGTGTTAAGATTCAGGTTCCCATTCCACATAACCGTGGCTTATTGAACATCATGTTTGATCCTCTTAAGCTACTTGTAGCTTCCCAATTCAGTTTTTTGGGTTCAAGGGCTTTTGCAGGTTTACCTTGTTCATGAAAGGCTAACATGCCCAGCCTGTTTGGGCGCACGAAGCACGGGCAACACGCCGACAGCTCGCTTTCGCTCGAGCGGATCGCTTGGGTTAGCCACTTCACAACGTTCAACACCTGCAGCAACACATCTGGAATCTGGACATCAGCGATGCAGTCAGAAAAGATGTTGAGGGAACTGTGAAGTACGTGGCCTTTGTCCATAGAGTCCCAGATGATCCATCAAATACATTCAAACACCTCTTTGGTACTGGAGGGTGACTAGGATAGAGGAAGGGATCCACTGTGAATTAATTAGAAGATTTGCAACTTTGAGCGACAGGGAATCCACTATTAAACATCATCACACCTGTGCTGGTTTTAACATATCCCCTTGAATAACCTGGAAGATCTTGGAAGTGTTCCATAGTGTTAGTAGAACTTCTGATTGATGTTGACTGCTTATGGTTTTGCTTATGATTGTCCAAGACTAATCACCAGGTGTCGACCTTGGGCGCAGTCGACCTCGGTCGGCTGTGTTCTTGTTGACGGTCGAGGGGAGCATAACCCAGACCCACCAGACCACGTCTCGCGCAGCACGCGCCGTCCGACGGACGGCCGCATGTTCTGCAGTGTTCGGCCATGACGGATGCAGGCGCGGCCCGAATTCGCGGCAGGGAGATGGGTGCAGACTCAGTGTAGATGTGTACGTGGATCGGTTTTTGGTGCGAAACTTAAAGACTCCAGGTGGATGGTGGACAAGGTCACAGGGGTGTTTTGATTTTCTTAGAGATTGGTGGACGATTGGAGGAGGCTCAGGGCCTTCTTCTCGAGTGGTAACGCATGGCAGGTTTTGCAGGGCAGGAGCGACTTAGTGCTCTTTTGAGATCTGGAAGCACCTGGAACCAAAGAGGAGGGTCTTTTGACTAAAAATTTGAGTTGGTTGCCGGATCGGGATCAAAGGTGCGGACGTGTTTCGCCAAACTCCGAAGATGCCAGATGCCACGGATGTATGGACTGTCTCATGAATGTGTCAAACGTGTCAGTTGATTGAATCCATGGATTCAGCCAACTCCAGAATGTTCTTTCAAGGCACTTGGTTTCCAGTCCTCCCAGTGTAGAAACGTCTATTCTAGATTCTAGACGGGTTGATTGATCAACCGTCAACATGATCGCTCTTTGATAGTTCCCTGAGGTTCAAACAAAGAGAACCCTTCTCCTCAAACCTGGCCTTGCTTGGTTTGACTTCAAGGCTTAAAAGAACGCATTTAATTCATCTTCACTGCGTAGATGCGAACGGGACTGCTTCCAAGATGCAAGTGTACTGGACTTGTTTTAATGGTTTTTACCCACACACCGCCCGCTTGAGATTTTTGTGACTGATACAAACATCAACACTACTTCTGCATACAGAATGAAAACATCACATTCAGCGACATTCAGGTCCTGACCTTTCTTTGAGAACAATATACGTGTGAATCTCAACCTCCAGCCACCCACTGAATCCAGATCTTTCGGCTTCGTTCCTTTGCACTGCTTCCTTCGCAGACTTTGCGGAGACGCTGCGCGGAGTTCAGCAGAAGTTCTCGGAGATCCTCCACCGGTCGGGGCGCCCCAAGCGCGGCGTTGGCGGAGAGGGCGCCACCAAATCGAGGGAAGATAGGGAAGGGGTTGTTGGACATTCGACACAGTGGTTGTTTCTTGGCCAAGCTTTTGGACTGAAGGTGACTGAAGATCTTGATTTGTTTTCAGTGTTTGGGAAGCTGTTGATGTTTGTTCACCTACCATGTAGCCTAGTTGCCCCTCGTGTAGAACCTAGAAATCATTTATATATAAAAATAAACCCATTCTGATTGTAAGACCTCTTCATATGGGGTTGCATGAATCAAGAGCCTACATGTGTTGCCCCAACCGTTTGTTGCGCCCACATGGATCTCAGCCTTTCCAGTGAGGTCTGGAATTAATCATGCCTTGAAATACACTCCCTGGAATTCATCGTGGAATTGGCAAATGGCTCCTTGGAAGACTAATATTTCTGTACAAACAGTGGGTTTTCCCGATTTTCCACTTCCGTGTGATGTGTTCGTCGGCCTTGATTCTATACCCCTGAATCAAACCGAAACCCGGCCAGCGGTGCGCTCCACATAAGGGTGCTTTGTTTCATTGGTCATCAACACTTTGACAGGGACTGGATGAGGGGTCTCTACCTTTTCAAGGTGAAACCATATGAATTGGGTGTGTCCCGTTACCTGCAATAGTCGAATAAAGATTATCAATAGATTATCACTATGTTTTTGAATTTGCCTGCACCATTAGCATCCACTGGGCCCAGGATGTTTGGATAGACCCGACATATACTGTAAGTTAAAAGTTTGTAGGTTGGAGGCCATCGCTAGTAGGTTGGAGGCTATATTAGGTTGATCCTTTGCGTCTTGTTGCTCTGTTAATCCCAGGGCTGAGTGGTTGCTGGACCCAAAGAGCCCTGAAGCACAGTCTGCTGTCGAGGCGGTGGCGGGTGAACTGGTGGGCTGGTGGGCTCGCAAATTGTTCAGCAACCCTTGACAGCAGAAGTGCATGAGCATTGAATTGATATGCCTGCACGACGTTGGTATATTACAAACTACCAAAGGCTTCCAGGACTGCAGTCAACAAAAACAAGTTTTCACACTCACTGTACCATTTGTTGCAACTTGCTGTCAACAGCTGATCCACTCTTCATTTTCGTGTCATCAAATGTCCCAAAACATCCCAGCCTTCGACCCCCCCATCAAGCAACATATGTGGGTTACCGTGGGCTTGTTACGGGTGTTGTAGCTGTAAGACGCTTTTACAATTCTGTGACCCTTGTTGGCAAGAATCCTGGTTTGTATGGGTTGAAAAGGGCAAGCAGAGAGGTTCCTTTCATCGAATTGGCTGCTGTAAACAAAACCATCGATCCTTCATTAGTCAGAGGCAAACGGAAGGGTAGTGCACAGACAAAAACCTATTCTACTAACATCGTGGAAGGTCCAGGACATTCGTGGAACCCGGGGCTGTTCGTGGACGGAACGACGCGAATGCTGGCCAGTAGGAACACTGACTGCAACAAAAACCTGCAAACCTTCGCAGAACTTCGTGGATGGTATTTTTGATGAATGCACACACCCTCCATTTAGCCTTCAATCAGTCTCACCATGTCTCACCTCTGTCCAGCTCCCCTCCTCGCAGGGTGCTCGATCCTTCGTGAAGCTCTTCTACGATGCTGGGCAGGCACAAATGTCCCGCTCCGCGTTTGACTCAGCGCTGTTTTCTGTGCGGAGTCGGATTTGTCCGAGTTCCAACATGCACTCCTTGAGTAACCTGACCGTTCCGACCTTGTTGGCAGCGGCAAGAGACGTGTCTTGGTCCTGTTTCTTTGCGTCACTCGTGACTACGAGAAGAAACTGAAAAGGCAAAAACAGAAAGGCAAGAGCCAACTCGTTGCGACCGCATGTACCATATATGCTTTTTTCGTTACAGACTAAGAGCTTTGAAGCACTCGGCATTACAGAACATGGCTAACCATTGGTTCAATTCTGGATGACCAGCCCACGCCAGAGTTTGTGATCGCTCTGTTTCTTGCATTATCATATTACCCCAGAGCCCTTGATTTGGCGAAGAGATGTAATTGAACAGCCATTGAATTGGTGTCAGCAGCCCTTGCTTGTTCGCTCCTGGCAAAACACATCCATTTGCCAATCTATATCAATCGCAAAGGACCCCTGAAAATTACGTACTTACATTGCTGTTATTTGTGAACATGTGCTTGATGTAACGGACACTACTAGCCTGGACCGCGTTATTGAAATCCCACCACTTTGGGGCCTAGCAAGGCACCGCCGTAGCGATCACGCAGCTCAGCAGGCGTTGAGACCCAAAAGCGCCCTTCCTCGCCTGGTGGTCGAAGGCATGAGACGTTGACCGACCATTGGGCAGACCGACCATTGGGCAGACCCATCCAGCAACATGTTAACCACTTTTTTTTGTTCACCAAACAGTGTGGTCACACTAATAAGGGTTCTTACACTAGGGGTTAAGGCCGGGTGTTCGATCGAAGGTGCTCGCATACGTGACCGGCTGATTCGCTGCTACTTACAGTACATCATAGTACATTCATTCACCGCGAGATCATCGAAGTTCGTTTGGACTGCGCAGGCTCGCAGAATCTCTTTGGCTCGCCGAGGGTGCTTTCCTCGACTGCGCTCTCGTTGTGGTGGTGTGCACATTTTTGAACTTGAGCAGATTGCGTGGCAGGCGAAGGGAAACCTCATGCTTCAGTAGCCCAAAGTCGCAAAAGAAGGCTTCGCTTCTGGAGGCGAAGGTCAAAGGCGCTCCGCGTCGCCCAAATGAAGTTGAAGACAAGGATCATGGACTCAAGTTGAACAGCTCTTGTGCTCACTGAGCTTATTCATAGCTAAGATGCCTTGCCCCCTGAAGGACAAGCTCTTGAAGCGGCGAGTTCAGCCACAGGTGACTGTGAAGTGAAAGACTCGTCCAAGAGGCAAAAGACATCTCATGACGAGAAGGAGGAAAAGATGGCGGCGACTATCGTCAACGACAAGAGTTGGATTGGCGGGAAGGAGGACAAAAGCACTAAGGCGAGCACCAAAGAGTTTGTGTGGGCGGAGCTTGGCACCAATTAATTGCAACTTGTGTGGCAAGTGGGTGTGGTGGCAAGGGTTGCATTGCAGCTCGTCGGTTGGGATATGACAACAAGCCAGATGACGAGGAGCCTGTGGCCGCGCCGGCCAGTGGCAATCGCCGGAGGGCGGCGTCATTGGAGATCGGCGAAGCTGTCTTGAACCTCATTGACAAAGCCGCCTCGTCGAGGGGATAGGCGTGAAAGGCCACTCGGCAATGAATGCTTCCCCAGTGAGAGGGCTCTTCGTGGCAGGTGAAGATCGGAGCGATTCTGCTTTTCGTGCAAAGCCTCGCGACATGATGATGGTCTTCGGCGCGCATGGCTCTTGTGGCCTCCTGAAACGTGACCTTTGGACAGACATGGCTTCTTCGAAATCAGAAGTATCCAGCGAAAGCTGCGCTTTGGCATTCAAGATTGTTGACTTTGGAAATGCTTTGCCGCGCAACGCCTTGGCAGGGCTGCACGATGTCAATCTTTGTGAACCTCGAAGTGCTGGTTTCGGGCAGGCGCAGCACTTTGTGAGCCTCGAGCTCTCATGTGTGCTCCCAGATGTGTCTCTTATATGTGCTCTCATACGTGTGCTTTCACATGTGCTCTCCAGACCTCTAGGCCTCTGGCCTCTAGGTCCTGCTAGACTTCTAGCTTATACGTGCTCTCATATCCGTGCTCTCATATGTGTGTTTTCATGCGTGTGGTGTCAGATGTGTGCTCTGAAGTGTGTGCCCTCTCGTGCTCTCATGTATGTGCCCTGATACGAGTGTTCAAGTACTTATGTCAGGATATATTTCTTGTCACACAGACTATATATTATATATAACTCAAAGAAGCACAGCCAAAAAGGTTTAAAGGGGCAGGGTGGTGCAACGGTAGCCTCTCCAGCCTCTCCAACCACAGATGGTGCGCCAGCGGGCGGTGGCCCGGTAGCACCAGTACTACCAACCGCTGCTGCCACCAAGCCTGAAAGACAGTGCTTGATTTGCCTCCAAGCCGTAGAGATCGGAGGTAGCTCAGTTCAGTCCATGCATGCACGGGCCATTCCATGGACCATGCCTGGCCCGTGCTTTGCGTGCCAACCCAATCTTCGAGATCGCAACCTCTCATATGTGTGTTCTCATGTGGGTGCTATCATCGGTGTGTTCTCTCACCCGTATGCTCTCATATGTGCGCTCATATGTGTGAGAATTGCTCTGACGCGTGTGCTCTCATATGCGTGCTCTCATACATGTGTACTCCCGTTGATGTACTCTCATATGTGTGCCAGTCTTGTATAAGTCCTTCCGTTGTCCGAGCACAGTTTGGGGTCTCTTGCCGGGATATATTGCTTAAATGTTTGTTTTCAATCACAATGACGTGTGATAAGGGAACATTTTTTTATTTTACTGATTTGTCCTGTTATTTTACCGATTTTGCTGCGCGTTATGCCTGTCACATGACATCCTGTCACCATGGCTATGCCTGTCGCCAGCCGGAGGAGATCGTTGGATTCAATGGGAAAACCGGATGTCTACATGCTCCCTCGTGTTCTCAAGCCGAGATGGTTGATTACGACACATATGGCATTCCAAACTGGTTTTCTCTCGCGCGGCCGAAGAAGGAACTAGCAGACCACGAGAAGTGTCTCTGGTATAGAGGGTCCTTATAAACAAACATCTGGAAAATGATTAGGATAAGTCTGTTGGACCATGCCGAGCAAAAGCACACGACCCTATTTTGGACAAAAACGTGTGTGTGTGTCACACTCTGTTCCTAAGAGTTTTCCACAAGCAGGGGACCAGGCAGGATGCATCGTCGCCTGGTCAACGAAGCTGGCGACGCATCCGAGGACACGTACCTGCTAAAAACTGTTGTTTACGCTGTGACTCCACTTTTCCCTTTTTGCTTTCATGGTGGTTCTTCGCATGATATCCCCCAAAATAGGTTTCCTTAGCTTTGGTAAAGTGCTAGTGAGCTTGTTAAACAGCTCTGTTCTTCGGACCCTTTCGCCTTACTGTTCTTGCAGTAAAGTGCTAATGCAGTAACTAGCTTCCGCAGTCACGCAAAACCTTTGTTAAACATCTTCAAGTTTTCGGACTCACTCGCCTTTCCGTTCCTTCACCCTTTTCGACCTGGGAATAGAGTTAACTGCAAACTTAAACCCATTGTCAAAGTGTGTGCCGCTGTGCCGTCCCACTTGGGTGCACAGTGTGATCCTCCGCAAGGAGGCGCCGTTCTCACTCCGGACTACCGTGTGACTGACTCAACGGTGTTCTGCATGCGTTGGATTATCTTAACCGACTTTCGTTTCACTACTGTATTCTCAAAATCAAAGCCGCCGGGCTTCACGGAAATTCGAAGCCGCCGGGCACGCGGAGAATAGACCCCGACGTGACCCCAAACACCCCTTTTCTAGTCTACTCTACCCAGGCGGTGTAAGACAAAAGCCCCGCTCCCTAACTAGTGCACCTAATTCACTTCGTCTAAGTATTCAGTAATTCTAGAGTGCTAGGTATTCACACACACACACACGGACACACACATGTACATACACCTCCCTGCCCCCCCGACTTTCCTTCTTGCACTTTTTGTCGTTTCTTGGGCTTTCTCTCAGGCTTTTTAGGTTGTTCTTCAGGCCCGTTTCCCTACCCCAGTCAAGGGCTAAGTATTCACTTTTTGCTACTCCTATCTTTCTCTCTTGCCCTTTTAGCGCTGCTCTTTCTGTGTTTCTTTCTCTTGTTTCTAAGGCTTTTTAGGTGCCTATAGTTCCCCACATCTTAGTGTGGGGTTCTTCTTTTCTATGTCTCATCCCGCTTCCCGCCCGCTTCCCGCCTCCGCCTCCGCCACACACACCGAGGCAACAGACACCGAGACAACGCAGACAGAGATCACACAGACAGAGACACACACAGAGATCACACACACAGAGACCACACACACAGAGACCACACACACAGAGACCACACACACAGAGATCACACACACCGAGACAACGCAGACAGAGATCACACACACAGAGACCACACACACACAGAGACCACACACACAGAGATCACACACACACAGAGACAACGCACACAGAGATCATCCCAGACAACGCATACAGAGACAACACACACCGAGACAACACACACAGAGACAACACACACCGAGACGTGTCCAGAATTCGTGGCAGGTACAGCACTGTGTGAACCTCCATGCTCCGTT